CATCAATCTCTGAAAATTTGTTGGTTTCTTTCAAGCAAAACCTGCCAAAAAATCATATGAACAACACCATAAACAATCCAATCATTCAACTTATCTGGGTAGTGGCTGCTCCATCTTCTGATAGTGTGAAGGATGTTCCCTGTGGGGATTGTTAAGTTGATGCAGACGCTCCTAACTGCATTCCAAATTTGCTTAGTGAAGTCGCAATCGATGAACAAATGATTGATGGATTCCTCAGCTCGATAGCACATTGTACACCTGTCGACAAGGGCCCATCCTCTCCTTTGTAGATTGTCAAGGGTAAGGATCTTTTTGTGTGCCACCAAACACATGAAAGCACAAATATTGTGCGGGATGAAATTATGCCAAACAGACTCATCTAGGAAACCATCCACGCCTGTGAATCTGCTACTAATAAAATGCCTGTACATAAGACGAACAAAGAACACACACTCTGGATTTGGAGACCAAACCAGCCTACTTGGTCCGCAAGGGACCTGATTAAGCTCAATGTACAATTCTGTATTCGTACCTGTATTGTTGGCGAGGTCCGAAACCCAGATATCAGGCATGGAAACAGCGGAGACAACTCTTGGAAAAGCTTTGGCTAAAATATTATTCGAAACCCAACTTCCAAAAAGACACCCATGCTCCACTACCTATATCAACGTGGCATGCTTTCCAAAAAGCCTTGTTTTGTTTGTTTGTTTCGTTTTGTGTTTTTTGTGAGCGTTTTTGTTATTTATGTGTTTGTTTCGTTTTTGCTTTGTGTTTTTGTTATTTTCCTGTGTGTTTTGTTATTTGTTTCATTATCCAACTTCGTACGTCATTGGTTGTTGAGGTTGTGTTTTATAGCACCTTTGAATGCGAAGAAGGGATTCTTTGGAAATACTACCTCTTGATACAGAAATTGAGAGAACCCTTAGGAATCTAAGAAGAGTTGCAAGACCTAAAACTCCACCGATGGCGGATCCACAAGCTCAAGTTCCACCGATGCCATGAACAATGGGTTCTTACTCTAGGCCAAGTGTGGATAATGTTCAATCACCTATCCTTCATCCGACGTTGCCCAAAAATGAGTACAAGATCAATCCGAGCACGATATCAATGCTTCAGCTATTCAATTCAATGAGATGATGAGTGTGGATGCGCAAGCACATGTCAAGTCATTTTACGAATTGACCGATGGAATCAGAGTGAATGAAGTTCCTCAGGAGGATATTCGATTAAGATTATTGCCATTTACCTTGAGTGGCCCAGTGAAAAAATGGTTGAACAATCAACCAAATCACTCCATCGCATCATGGGGTGATCTATGCAACAAGTTCTTCGCAAGGTATATCCCACCTTCTACAATGACTTTAATGAGAAGTGAGATTACTATGTTCCATTAAGAAGCAGATGAACCATTGTTTGAAGCATGTGAAAGATTTACATCTCTATTACTCAAGTGTCCTCACCATGGCATTGGCAATTGGTTACATGTGGAAAGCTTTTATAATGGGTTAACGAAGGAGTCACGAAGCCTCATTGATGCGGCTAGTGGTGGTGCCATTAGAAACAAAGAAGTCGGAGAAATTCAACAATTAATCGAAGAGATGAGCCTTAATAGCTATGATTGGGATGACAGAAGGAGAGGTAAGAGCTTCTTGAAGGGAAGTTTGATAAAGGTTGAAGAACCATCATCGTTAGCGGCTCATATTCAAGAAATTTCCAAGAAAATCGATCAAGTTGTAATATCAATGAAAGGTAATGGGACGCAACATATGAAGTGTGATTGGTGTGGCGACTCAAGTCACACTATGGAAGAGTGCAAGTATATGATTGAGGGTTCACTACAATTTGAGCAAGCAAACTTTGTTGGAGGGAAATCTCGAGGGAACAAACCTTATAACTCAACATATAATCCGGGTTGGAGGAATCACCATAATTTTCCTTGCTCTTTTACAACGAATAGGAAATTTTCGAGTTTTCAATCTCAAGCTCCAATGAAAATTACTTATCAAAGACCAAGTCAGCCATCATACCAAAGAGCGTATCAAGAGTAAAGTTGACCCTCTGATGGTCGAGTTTCTAAACTTAGAAGATTTGGTGGGAAAATTTGTTACACAATCTAACAGGAAGTTTGAAGCTATTGACAAGTTCATAGAGAATACCTCAACCAAATTCTCAAGTTTGGAAGCGGGTCAAAGGAATATAATCAACAAGCCTCACTTCAAAATCTTGAAGCTCAACTAAGTTCGTTTGATCAAACTACGTCGTTAAGACCTCAAGAAACTCTAGCGGGCAATACTGAACGTAACCCAAAGGAAGGATGTCATGCGGTAACTCAAAGGAGTGGCCGACCTTTGAATGAGATTCCTATTTCAACTCTGAGGATACAGGTAAGAGAAGTTCAACGTGAAGTCGCTCAAGAAGAACAGCTAGTTCGGAAAGAAGAGCAGCCCCATTGAAATCAAGATTGAAGATGAGGAGAAGTCAAAGAAGACTCAAGTACCCGATCCAACACCAAAAGTTCATTATCTTAGACGGTTATTTGAAAGTGACCTCTATCATGAGTGTGCTCCATGGAAGGATACCTTGAAGCAATTGAAGGTAACAGTCCCTTTTCTAGACATGGTAATGAAGATCCAAAATATACTAAATTTTTGAAGGAAATATTATCGCGAAAGAGGAAAATGGAGGAAGTAGCTATGGTATCCGTTAGTGAAGTGGCTTTGGCATCAATCGGGTGTGGAGGATTCCCTCCCAAATTTCAAGATTCGGGAATCTTCACTATTCCATGCACTTTCAGAGTCAAAACGGTTTGGAATCCGTTAGCCGACTTTGGGTCTTGCATTAAACTTATGCCTACACGGATATACAATGAATTAAACCTTGAACCACTCATACCTACTAAGATGGGGATTGAGTTGGCCAATAGGTCCGTTGTCTAACCAAGAGGAATCATAGAAAATGTCTTGGTGAAATGTGCTCAATTTGTTTATGAAGTGGACTTCATGGTTCTCGACCCTGAGGGGTGGGATGCATCGATTATCCTAGGCCGACCATTCTTAGCCATAACACGGACTATCATTGATGTAAGTGGAAGCAAGATAACCTTAAGATTTGGTGAGGAGGAAATAAGCTAAAAGATGACCCCAACCCCAAATTTTTAGAAGATTCAAGTGGGATGATGTCAAGATGGATTTTGAGCCGATTACATCTCCTACCGCACCACCTTCGACTTCGCCTATCAATGGAAATCCATAGGCAGACGCTGCAAACCAGCAGCCACCTCTGCAGGAGCACACCATGGATTACTTCTAAACTCCATGGTTTGACACATTCGTCCAATCATCCAATACCCACCCATATTTGCTAACAACTTTGAGATCAAGACCTGCTGAATCTAGTTGATTAGAACCTCCATTCAGTTTCATGGGATCATGGAAGAAGTGGCGAGGGTGCACCTTGCTCAGTTCTTGCAGCTGACCGACGGTTTCAAGCTCAACGGTGTTCCAGCTGATGCGATCCGACTTCACCTTTTCCCCTACACTCTGTCGGGGCATGCAAAGAGGTGGCTGAAATTCAGCCGACAATGTCCATCGCTTCTTGGGATGATCTGGCTAACAAATTTGTGCACCAATACTACCAGGCCTCGAAGATTTCAGAGAGTCAATGGTAGATTATCCATTTTCTCCAGGAAGATAATGAATCCTTGAGAGACGCTTGGGAACGTGATAGTCCATTGATTGCACATGTTTTTACCCCTATTCTTAAGTCGTTTGAGATGTTGATTCTTCTGTTTTAAGCCGATTTCACGCTAGGTTGTGTGTTTATGTAATATTTCAAGGCTTGGCGTTGACATTGAGGCGAAGAGTCGAGTTTCGTGTTTAAAGGAGGACGTTTGAGTTGAAGGGTGCTAGAGGAGCATAATACCCGACCATGAGCAGTACTACCCGGCCGGGTAAAACTCCATGGAGGCCAGGGAAAAGCACATTTGGGACGTTGAGAAGCAGAATGGGTCCCGGCTAGAGAGCAAGAATACCCGATCGGGTATTTCCCTCTTCCCACTGCGCAGCGTTTGAAAATACCCGGTCGGGCACCTGAAATACCCGACCGGGTATAATGACCGGGGAACGCGCATGACTGCTTTTTAAAGGAAAGAAGGCCAACTTTGAAAAGGTTCTGAGTTTTAGAGAAAGAAAGTGATACCTAGAGAGAGAAAGCGACGAACCAGAGTTCCCAATCGCCTTAGATCGATCTTCATCATCAGTGGAGCTCGGTTAGCGCTTGGAGAAGTGCCGATTGCCAATCAGAAGCAGAACCCCATTCTTCACAACATGATTTCTGCTTCTGAGCTAGAGTTTGCTTCTCTCTCCATGGAGTAACTTCCACATTCACCTGGGTATGAAGAACCCTAGATTTGTATGTTAGGTCTGATTGTATGAACCCAAGTATGAATCCATTGATTTGATTATATTCAATTGAGGTCTGATTTGTTGAATGGCATGAATCCTGATGATATTCTTGTTGTTTCTGCTTTGACCTAGAAAGAGAATATCTACCTAGGTTGATAGAGCACCCTTGATTGAAGGTAGTGAATTAACGAATTTAGTCAAGGAGTCAATTCACTATCCTGTACCGGATTTACTTCGGTAGTGGAGGTTTGGTTCGTTAGGGCCTCAATCTGTTTACTCCGGTGAGGTTAGTCGCCCGCTGGGGACTCAGATTGAGAGGGTCTGGAGACCTTTAGTCGAGACTGTAGACTGCATAAGAAGCTCCTGTAGTATAACTATCTTTGAATTCGAACTTGGTAAATTACAATCTGGCTTAACTGCAGTCTAGGGGGAACCATATCCGGGTGACCTCTCTCAACTTGAAAACAACCTTTTACTGCTTTGTTTGTTTGTTTGTTTGTGATATGACCCCAAATAGCCTCCTCCACAAGTCGCCATTGATTGTTCAACAAGCTATCTCAAGCTATGCTAAGGTTCCTGAAATTTGGCTAAGTCTTCCTACAGTGACAGGTAATCATCTTCACAAGCATGGTTCTTCCAAATGGCTGGATGGAAATGGGGATTTAGTGTCTTGGCTTGAATCTGGGAAGTTTATGTACGAGATAAAATGCTTGGGAGCTCGAGGGAATGCCAGGATGATCAATTTCCAGGCTTACCAAAATCCTATGGTGAAACCAGGAAACTGCCCAAAATTGCCTAAGGCAGGAATGGTGTTCGAGCAAGCACTTTGGGAGGCTCGTTCGAGGACATCCAGCCAGATTCGAGTTCCAAGGTTTATGCCTCATGAAAGTACGCAACTTCTAGTTCATATACGAGGCATTGGTTGAAGTAGAACTTACCTGGAAGGCCTTGATCGAGAGGCCCAAACATGGGATCAAGGCAGTCGAAGTTACTTGTGAGAAGGGGCTGAGTTTGAGTCCGAATGGAATTAGAAATAGGTTTAATTTGTTTCCTTGTTTAGTTTAAATTCTTTGCCGGTTTGGGATTGTTGGTAGTTTGTATAAAAACAGCACGAAGGGTATTTTTTTATATGAAGTTTATGGAACAACAATTAAAAACCCAAAAAACCAAGTTGTGTTGCTTGTTGTTTTGGTTGAGAGTTTGGCCAAGAAACCAAGCTCGATTGAGCTCTTGCATCGATCAAAACCCCCTTGATCGTGGGCGAGCATCGAATCATATTCGTTGAGCCTTCCTCCAGGTGTAGGATTGCACATCGAATTCCATCAAAACCTCTTGTTATTCATCACATATTGGAGTCTTTGCCGAAACTGCAGAGTTTGAGAGCTCAAGCTCGGTTTGTAAATCGACACCCCTGCCTGGGTGTTATCAGTTTGGACCTTCACTATACTTTCACTACTAAATAATAAGAATTCACGGAGTAGTCATCACACTTAGGACCCGGGTTGACATTAAAACCCAAACCAGCTATTCTACGCTCTAGTAGGTGGTTACACTTGGCCATTTTCTAGTGTGACGGTAGATGCGAGTCAAGTTTTTGGCGCCGTTGCCGGGGACGGCTAGGTTGTTGAAGAAATGTGATTTCTGTTACTTTGGCATTTCCATTTCCGCATTGACCGTTTGCTGTTTCCCACTTGTGCCTTCACGGGTTTGCTTGCTTGACTGCGTGCAGGTAGTGCATGACCCGTAGCCAGTCGGGAGGTTTACTACCGTTAGATCCGGAGCTAAAATGCACCTGTCACCAACTAAGGAGACAACAGCGAGCAAGACTGGCTACAGAGGAGCACCTGGACGGCCACTTTAGCAGCGATTATGAGGAAGAGTAAGAGATGGACAGTGCACAAAACCCACCCTAGTGGATGCCTCTCCAGGTTCCCCCAGTGAATCAGATCCTGGGGAACAACCCAATACCCCAGGCGGATGGGGTTCAACATCAACCACGCCGGGTCCTACCATGCAGTATTACTACACTGCACGGTTCGCTGACGTCCGCCCCGTCATCCTCTGTCCGCCCATTCCAGCGAACAACTTCGAGATCAAGCCTTGTTGGATTCAACTGATTACATCCTCTATCCAGTTTCATGGCTTTAAAGACGAAGAGGCACGGGTGCACCTTTCCCGGTTCCTGCTGCTGATAAACGGGTTCAAGATGAATGGTGTACCCGATGATGCGATCCGTCTTCACCTCTTCCCCCATTCTCTGGCAGGGCATGCGAAGAGGTGGTTAGAGACCCAGCCCCCACTATTCATCACATCGTGGGACGATCTGGCCGACAAGTTCGTGCACAGGTATTATCTGGCATCAAAGACTATAGAGATACAGTGGGAGATTACCCATTTCCGCCAGGAGCCAAATGAGTCTCTTCGTGATGCCTGGGAGCGGTACTAAGGGTTCTTCTGTGTAACACCCCGAATTTTGGGTTCATGTTCGACCCAAATACGTGAACGTTTGGATTAACGGTTACGTACTAAGAGTTGCAACCGCGGATTAGGAATAATAATAATAGTTATTATTATTATTATTATTATTACTATAATTATAAAAATAAAATTTATATGCAGACATTAAGGGCCGAGCGGCCCTCATGATTTTCCCCAAACTCCTTCCTTATTATTTATCTCCACCAGCGGCAGGCAAGAGAGGGTAACCGCTGCCTCCATTAATCCTCACCCTAATGCAAAGAGACCCGATTCCCCAGAACCACGCACCGATACACATCTACTTCCCATCCACAGCGAAAACCGCTATCCGCCCATAATCATTGTCGCCATCTTCAGGCGGAAGCTTAATGATGTCATAGTTGCAGCGTGGAGAGAGGAGAAAGAAAGAGGGAGCCGATGCGGTGCTCGACAGGGCTAGCAGCAGTCGGGTTTGGGAACCAATTCCTTTATACCCGACGTTGTTTAGTAGTCGCCAGTGAGAGAAGTAAGAAGTAATTTCATAAAGGAGTCATTAGGAAGGGTCTGAATCATGAAGGAATCGTCAATCATGCTAGAGAATTTATGGGAATCGCGTTCAAATGGAATGGATCGGGGTCCGTTGGAATTTGGGTACCGAGCTGAAGGAGGAGGACAAGAGTCTAATTGTTGGGGTATATTTATATATACGTGAGCTCCTGGGTAATGGCATATAAAATTCGCCAATTATGAGGTAAATGCTTTACGCTTTTGGGTATGAATATAATGAGTCACAGGTGATGAATTTGGGGTATTGCCAATGATGGACTAATTGGTATGGTGATGAGGACACTTTTGGGGATGCTATACGTAGGTAGCAATTGGAATTGCATGGATGGGATAGAGCCTCTGTGTACTTGGTAAAGCGATCGACAATGGAAGGTGGTTAGCTCAAACCAAATTGACTCGAATAAAAAGGTGAGTGTAAAGGGGGTAAATTCTACGCCTTACGATTTTGAAGTATTTTCCTTGAGTATTTTCGAGTATTGATTTACGTGATGGATGTGAAGTATTTGTTTCATGGTTGAGATTGCATGATTATTGTTGATGATATGTGATTTTGTTTGAGCTATGTTTGATGTGAAGGTGCATGAGTTATTATTTAATTTAAAACTTTACGAGTATAAGTTATTATTAAAGAGTAATAAACAAGTTCTTTTAAAGAGGTAACTCACCTTCAAGAAGGTGAAGTCGTTTTAAGTGTTTTTAGTCACTAGCGCCAGTCCGTTGCCTTTTGAGACAGTTGAGATAGAGCAGCAGTTATGCTCTTGAGATTTAAGATGGGCAGCAGTTATGCCCTTGAGAATCGTGGTGAAGAGCCACCACGATAAGTTTAAGATGTTAGGGGGATGAATCGTTACGACTTCCCTAACTAAGTTTAAGGAAAGCCTGAATGGCTTCTCGTACGTATGAGTTGGCAACCGGACTAGCTAGTGAGGGATCCCCGTGTCAGTCAAGTATTTAAGTCAAGCTTTGAGGTTTAAGAGTGGAGTAACAGTAACTCCCATACAGTTTTAAGAGTTAAGCTTTTTAGTAGTGGAAGTACAAAACAACTCCCACTCAGTTAAGTATAGTGATCAAGTATTAATAAGTATTTAAATGTAAGGGCGTAGACTGACCCCATCTCACTCACCAGTTTGAGGAGCTAGAGGAGCAGTTAGTGAGCAGCAAGTTCGAGGGCAGCCAGCTAGAGGAGAGCAGTATAAGCGTCACGGAGGATGCTTAGTCAAGGTTTTCAGTAACAAGAGATTACTAGATATTTACATTTATGATTATGAGTACAGACTGGAGTTTATTTTGAGATCAGTTTGAGATTTTGAGTATTGAGTTTGCCCACGTGTTAGGGCTATGCTTTGAACAATAAGTGTGTGTTTTCAATATTTTATTTATCAAAATTGTTCCTACTGAAATTTAAGCTTTGAGTATTTTATTTATCAAGGGCATTTTAGTGAAAGTAGTACCCGGTCGGGTTAGGATATTTCATTTTGGTATCAGAGCCGGTCTTCCTCTGTTTCTTGGTTTCCAAGGAATACTGTAATATCGGTCTGAGTTTTAAAGGTTTTGTTTTTAAAGGAAAGGAAAACGAGTCAAGGATCTTCTTTTAAGAGTTTATAGAATCTCCAGTCTACTCTAATCATATTAAGGTGAATAACTATGACAGCACGACATGAAGAGATGGTAGGCCAGGGTGCGATTGTTCAAGAATAGGCTAGGACGCGATTTAGTTAACATATCGTGGTTTGTCAAATGAGAGATTTAGGCGTATGGCGATCATCAATATGAAAGGAAAGAAGCAAGAAATGTGGCCAACTCTATTAGAATCTCAAGATACGAGGAAAAAGGAAGGAGGAACGTTGCAAAGGTCTGTGGAGGTAGAATCAAATGTCCGAGGGCTTCAACTCCAAACACTAGCAAAGAGGTGCCAATTGGAAGGGAATACCTCAAGGATTTTGAATGAGTTGAGAGAGTAGTACGAGGATTTTACTACTAGGAAACAAGAGGATGATCTAATAAGCAAAAGCAAATAAATAGGAGAACTATGAATCTCCGAAGAAAGAGTTACAATCACTAGATGGCAGTGGCTATAATGAAAGGAGGAATTTAGGTTCCTTGACCCTAAGCAGTTGCGGGGTGGCAACGAGTTAAGAAAACGGAGAGGTACCACGAGAAGTCCCCCAACTAGTTTAGTGGTCAACGCTATTACAACACAGTGACAATGAGCAGTGGAAAGCTTAGACTTCAAGAGAAGGTAGGGCAGTATAAATGAGATAAAGAAGGAAGTAAGCAGGTTAGAGGGGGTCTGAAAGGATGTCAAGAAGTCAACAGGTCAAGGAGGAGAGGAGGCATGGTCATTTCCATATGACGATAAAGGAACCCTTATAGATAAACTACCTCACGAGAGAAGAGGGTACATGAACCTGGGGAGTTAGGCTGATAGCAAGCCTTTAAAAAGGAACAAGACAAGCAACAAGATAAATGATGTAGAGGTTGAGGTTAGATCAGGCATGCTATACACCTGTCAAGCGCAAGCTAGAGGAAAAGGTATGAGAAGGGGTTGAGAGACCCTGCAAATTACCATGATCAAGGAGAATCAGAAAATCGTGGAATTTCAAGGAATCCATTTGGAAAGTCTAAAGTGGGAACTAGAGGGCCAAGGGCGTGAGTCTCGGAACCAGCCGTAGGAGTAAATCATTCAATCAACCGGGTATAGACAAGCAAGTACAACGTTCATTAGACGTTCTAAAGAAAGTTGCAGAATTCAAGGAAGAGTCTAAACAGTCGTAATGAAGAGAGGTTGCGAACAATACCAAGGAAGAGCAAAAAGGCCAGAGGGAGTTTGACGAGATTTCAAGAAGTCAATGGGTCAAGTCTCAGGTGACTCGAGGTCAAGAAGCTGCACAAAGAGGTACGATGAGGGAAAGCATTACCGAGAAGGAGAAAAAAGAGAAGTTACCTTATCCAAGGTGCCCCACTCCGAGTGGTCGCAGCATGGTAGGAGGGCTCCAGAGGAGACAACTAGTTAAGGATGAAACAGACACGCTTAGTTAAGCCACTAAGAATCCTAACTAAGAGACTAAGTTTATGTACAAGATCGATCAACATAAGAGACATGGAATGAGTTATGTTAAAGGTTACCAAGGGCTAGCCACCATTGGCAGTTGTGACCTAAAACAAACAACATAAGAGACATTGGAATGAGTATCTTCTCGTTGTTGTTTTAGGTCACAACTGCCAATGGTGGCTAGCCCTTGGTAACCTTCAACATAACTCATTCCATGTATCTTATGTTGATCGATCTTGTACATAAACTTAGTCTCTTAGTTAGGATTCTTAGTGGCTTAACTAAGAGTGTCTGTTTCATCCTTAACTAGTTGTCTCCTCTGGAGCCCTCCTACCATGCTACGACCACTCGGAGTGGGGCACCTTGGATAAGGTAACTTCTCTTTTTTCTCCTTCTCGGTAATGCTTTCCCTCATCGTACCTCTTTGTGCAGCTTCTTGACCTCGAGTCACCTGAGACTTGACCCATTGACTTCTTGAAATCTCGTCAAACTCCCTCTGGCCTTTTTGCTCTTCCTTGGTATTGTTCGCAACCTCTCTTCATTACGACTGTTTAGACTCTTCCTTGAATTCTCCAACTTTCATTAGAACTTCTAATGAACGTTGTACTTGCTTGTCTATACCCGGTTGATTGAATGATTTACTCCTACGGCTGGTTCCGAGACTCCCGCTCTTGGCCCTCTAGTTCCCACTTTAGACTTTCCCAATGGATTCCTTGAAATTCCACGATTTTCTGATTCTCCTTGATCATGGTAATTTGCAGGGTCTCTCAACCCCTTCTTATACCTTATCCTCTAGCTTGCGCTTGACAGGTGTATAGCATGCCTGATCTAACCTCAACCTCTACATCATTTATCTCGTTGCTTGTGTTGTTCCTTTTTAAAGGCTTGCTATCAGCCTAACTCCCCAGGGTCATGTACCCACTTCTCTCGTGAGGTAGTTTATCTATAAGGGTTCCTTTATCGTCATATGGAAATGACCATGCCTCCTCTCCTCCTTGACCTGTTGAATTCTTGACATCCTTTCAGACCCCCTCTAACTTGCTTAATTCCTTCTTTACCTCATTTATACTGCCCTAGCTTCTCTTGAAGTCTAAGCTTTCCACTGCTCATTGTCACTGTGTTGTAATAGCGTTGACCACTAAACTAGTTGGGGGACTTCTCGTGGTACCTCTCCATTTTCTTAACTCGTTGCCACCTCGCAACTACTTAGGGTCAAGGACCCTGAATTCCTCCTTTCATTATAGCCACTACCATCTAGTGATTGTAACTCTTTCTTCGGAGATTCATAGTTCTCCTATTTATTTGCTTTTGCTTATTAGATCATCCTCTTGTTTCCTAGTAGTAAAATCCTCGTACTACTCTCTCAGCTCATTCAAAATCCTTGAGGTATTCCCTTCCAATTGGCACCTCTTTGCTAGTGTTTGGAGTTGAAGCCCTCGCACATTTGATTCTACCTCCACAGACCTTTGCAACGTTCCTCCTTCCTTTTTCCTCGTATCTTGAGATTCTAATAGAGTTGGCCATATTTCTTGCTTCTTTCCTTTCATACCGATGATCGCCATACGCCTAAATCTCTCATTTGACAAACCACGACATGTTAACTAAATCGCGTCCTAGCCTATTCTTGAACAATCGCACCCTGGACTACCATCTCTTCGTGCCGTGCTGTCATAGTTAATCACCTTAATATGATTAGAGTAGACTGGAGATTCTATAAACTCTTAAAAGAAGATCCTTGACTCGTTTTCCTTTCCTTTAAAAACAAAAACCTTTAAAACTCAGACCGATATTCCAGTATTCCTTGGAAACCAAGAAACAGAGGAAGACCGGCTCTGATACCAAAATGAAACACCCTAACCCGGCCGGGTACTACTTTCACTAAAATGCCCTTGATAAATAAAATACTCAAAGCTTAAATTTCAGTAGGAACAATTTTGATGAATAAAATATTGAAAACACACACTTATAGTTCAAAGCATAGCCCTAACACGTGGGCAAACTCAATACTCAAAATCTCAAACTGATCTCAAAATAATCTCCAGTCTGTACTCATAATCATAAATGTAAATATCTAGTAATCTCTGAAGTTGTTGTTACTGAAAACCTTGACTAAGCATCCTCCGTGACGCTTATACCGCTCTCCTCTAGCTGGCTGCCCTCGAACTCGCTGCTCACTAACTGTTCCTCTAGCTCCTCAAACTGGTGAGTGAGATGGGGTTAGTCTACGCCCTTACGTTTAAATACTTATTAATACTTGATCACTATACTTAACTGAGTGGGAGTTGTTTTGTACTTCCACTACTAAAAAGCTTAACTCTTAAAACTGTATGGGAGTTACTATTACTCCACTCTTAAACCTCAAAGCTTGACTTAAATACTTGACTGACACGGGGATTCCTCACTAGCTAGTCCGGTTGCCAACTCATACGTACGAGAAGCCATTCAGGCTTTCCTTAAACTTAAACTTAGTTAGGGAAGTCGTAACGATTCATCCCCCTAACATCTTAAACTTATCGTGGTGGCTCTTCAACACGATTCTCAAGGGCATAACTGCTGCCCATCTTAAATCTCAAGAGCATAACTGCTGCTCTATCTCAACTGTCTCAAAAGGCAACGGACTGGCGCTAGTGACTAAAAACACTTAAAACGACTTCACCTTCTTGAATGTGAGTTACCTCTTTAAAAGAACTTGTTTCTTACTCTTTAATAATAACTTATACTCGTAAAGTTTTAAATTAAATAATAACTCATGCACCTTCACATCAAACATAGCTCAAACAAAATCACATATCATCAACAATAATCATGCAATCTCAACCATGAATCAAATACTGCACATCCATCACGTAAATTGATACTCGAAAATACTCAAGGAAAATACTTGAAAATCGTAAGGCGTAGAATTTACCCCCTTTACACTCACCTTTTTATTCGAGTCAATTTGGTTTGAGCTAACCACCTTCCATGGCCGATCGCTTTACCAAGTACACAGAGGCTCTATCCCATCCATGCAATTCCAATTGCTACCTACGTATAGCATCCCCAAAAGTGTCCTCATCACCATACCAATTAGTCCATCATTGGCAATACCCCAAATTCATCACCTGTGACTCATTATATTCATACCCAAAAGCGTAAAGCATTTACCTCATAATTGGCGAATTTTATATGCCATTACCCAGGAGCTCACGTATATATAAATATACCCCCACAATTAGACTCTTGTCCTCCTCCTTAAGCTCGGTACCCAAATTCCAACGGACCCCGATCCATTCCATTTGAACGCGAAGCACGTTCATGATTCCCATAAATTCTTT